AAATTGCTTCCTCTCCTGCGCGCTGCCTCCCTCTCTCTCTCGCCCTCGTCTGCCCGGCCGGCTCGGCTAAGCTACAAGCGCGAGCTCCGGGCTTTCAGCATACCTGCCAAGCACGCGCGCTCGTGCAGTGCAAGCACTGTTCTGGGCCAGATGCTCGCGCTTGTAGCATCGGCTGCGTCTGGACCGAAGCTGAAACGAAGTATAGGCGGCTAGGCTCAGATCCGCTGGCTCCGCTCGCCCCTTGAATCGTTACCATTTTGGATCGCCGTCTCATCGACGTCGCTCTACCGTAGTCGATTCATCAGCCGCGCGAACCATCTCGTGTTCTCTGGATTTGGCGGTTGCGTTCTGCTACAGGGCTAGACCCTTGCACGATGGCATACGCGCCGGCCACAGCAGCAGCTTCTGCTTTGGTGCTTCTTTGTGCCATCGATTCAGATGATTCTGACGATCCGCTGCCGCCGCGGAAGAAGCCGCGTTCAAAATGGCCCTTCACGCTTGACGTCAATTATTGAAGTATTCTCGTGCGACTATCTGTACAGAAAAATATAGATGTTGCCGTGTTGCTGGAAAAAAATTCGCTCAGCCACCGAAATGGGCAACACGTGTCGTCCGACACAAGTTGTCGAGGTTTCCGTTGCCAAAAGCTGTCACACCGAGACAACATTGTCGCTGTCGTCCATGTTGTGTTGCTGTTTCCTCAATGTGACAGGGTTGTCGGGCAACAGAGCCGACAGCCGACATGTTTCCCGACTGTTGAGAAACATGTTTTGTTCATGTTTCCGCCGTGTTTCCTCAATGTGACAGGGCCTTAAGGAGCTTCGCCCCTAAAATAAATTTACACTTTCTTTTTCCTTTTTGCTGACTCCCAGGAAAATGTCATAACTTCGATAATCTTTCTAGCTATGCGAAGGATATCTGGAAGAACGATCGCTCATAATACAAACACGATAAAACACTACGATTACACAACTTTCATCGTATTTTGACTCGAACAGTACTTTGTACAAAGATAAGCAAACGGTGTATAAAGTACCATCCACACGCTTCTTTGCTTCATTCGCGCTTGATTTCATGATATAACATAAATGCGCGGATTGCAGGTCGGACAGGGCTCCGAATTTAGCGGATGAAATGTGGATGCGGATCGAATAAAATAATTGGAGAACATTGTGGATGCGGTTCGAGTGCGGATACAAGGTCTTCGGATGCGGATCGGATCCGGGTGATCAAACTGTTATCCGTGCAACGCTCTAGTCGCGGCACTTAGGAGCCTCCCAACCGAAGAGACGAAGGAACTTCTGCGACAATTCAACGATATTTGAAACTATGGAGAAATTCCAGTAGAATGAAAAAACTCTACAGTTCTGGCTATCCCAGAACCTGACAAACATTCGAACTTCATTCGGAATTTGCAACCAATCTCGTTGACCTCAAACTTTTGCGAACTCCTCGAGGGAATGGTCCTGACCAGCCTAGAGTGGACACTTGAAATCCAGAAACGACTTCACCCTATACAGACGGGCTTGAGACCCAACATGTCCACCCAAGACAGCCTCGCAATGATCAACCACAACGTCTTTGAGAAACCCCTGTTTAAGGCGCAGCCACGCACAATGTTTGCTATAGATATCAAGAAGGCCTTCGATACCGTCCCGCTCAAGACGGTCATTGAAACGGCTCAGAGGCAATTAAATGCTTTCTGAAGAACAGGGCCTAGCTATCAAGTAGTTATTGGGAACACTAGAAGCCCCATGGGGAAACAAAAGCGCAAACATTGGTGTACCGCAGGGAGCAGTGATCACACCAACGCTGTTGGATATGGCAATGGCAGATCTTGCCTTTGCTCTCCAGGTCGTCCCGGACATCAGCTTCTCAGTTTACACGGACGAAGTCAGTCCCTGCATGCAAAGGCTGACTGGCAACGCCTTTGCAAAACAGTCAGGGGTTCACCTTTCGGTTTAAAAGACCTCCTAGATGATTCTCTCCAAGGCACGATGTAGATTTGACAACCAAATTCAATTCAAGATCGACGTAGCGCCGCTCACAGTTTTTGAGAGCCTCAAGATGCTCAGCGTAACGTTTGACCAGAACGGCGGAGCCACGAGCTGGAAGAAGCAAACCAAGTCCCAGTGAACCAACGGCGTAAATTTCCTCAAGAAGATCACGAGCAAGGCGTGGGGAGCTCAGAACAATTTACTACGTACACTCGTCAAATCTTTTCTCGCCTCGAAGGCGGTCTACGGCCCATGCTACCTTCGCTAAACAAATAGGTAGGAAGAAGCCCTCAAACACTCAACGTTCTTATCAGGTCTCTTATGAAAATCATCACAGGTCGCCCCAAGATGATTCCGATTTGAAACAACATTGAAGGGAAGTCAAAATTATGTACACCGACGCCGCAAGAGACGATGCAGGCCGCATGGCTATAGACGCTTTACACACGCGCCAAATTACAGCCGCCATTGCTGACCTTCTCTTGTCTTACCGAGATGCCGAGCAACTGAAACGGTAGTTGACGTTCCTCTACAAAGGCCGATGCTTTAGAAAAGGACACAGTCGAATCTAAAATGGCAGTAACCTGGCCTGCTACGGTAATAATGAAGTGAAATAAACGAATTAAGAGGAAACAAAAACTGAAGGTCAGTTATGGCGGCGTCCATTCACAGCTGCTGCAAAGCGTCTATAGACTGGCACTCAACAACAAATAGCTTAAAGGGGCTGTGCAACGATAATGGGTAGGAATATTTCTTACTTTACACCAGCTTCCTGGCACTAGTGGGACCCAAGAAAACTTGAACGCAACACCACTGACCAAGAAGCGTCTTCGTCGCGGCGGAATTCAAAGGATGAAAGCGGAGCTTTTCTTTCAGTCTCTCTTTCCAAAACCGCCTTTTGCTCCTTCGCGAAATTTGATGACGGAGCTGTGGGGACAATGGCAACAGTACGATCCCCGGGAATGCGTCATCGAGCTTTGCGGTGACGATATTCAAATGCTTCTCACACAGTGGACGCGAAGACTGCGTACGTATTCGATCTGGGCTTGTGAAAATCGATGCCTTCGATAGTGGCCCAGTTTCCAATCGCTGCAACGACGACAATAGCCGAGCCATAACAATGTCTGAAACTAAGCGCGTGTCCTGTGCTTTGCTAACCCCAGCGCATGGCTATGATCAACATTGGCGGCATATAATCGGCTCCAGATCACGTGGCCACTTGTTCTGGCTGCGAGTTGACGGGGTGAACGGTGCTCGTTTTTCTTTAATTTTCTTCTGGAACTTCTATTGCGTGGGGTGAAAAACGAACATGTGGTTCATAGTTCATTAACGTCAGGGATCCGTTTTTAGCGGTATTTGCCCAAAGTACGAAAATTGCTGCATCGCCCCTTTAACTTCGAAAGGCGACACATCGATTCAGACACTTGAGTTTGAGCGCGTTTGACTGCGTTGCGTCGAGAACCGAAAGAGAGTCACCGCCACATCTGCGCTTCGTATAAAGCGTGGAATCCAATTCATGGAATCATCTTGGCACGTGATATAAGCAGCAGGGGTGTCCTCTCTATCCATGCTGGAACGCAAACTAAATGATGTAGAAAACTGCATTGGGCACTGATTGGCTATTCTCTCGAGTCACGTGACATGATGTTGAAAAGTAGTTTTTCCCTATGCAGTTCGAGCTATGCTCGTAAAATGATGCAGTTGGCGGTGACGTCAAAATGTCGTCACGATGCACTTTGACGACGCAGTTAACTGAGTGGTCGAGACGAAGCCAGAGATCAATCTGCATCGTAAAAGATGGCGACCCTAACATATGCATCTGTTGGGTTCGCCAGCGGATCGAGTTTTTAGAGATCACCGGGATACTTTCGAGACGAGCGATGCGAGGTTTGTGGGCGAATACCGGTGACCAAAGGGGTGACTCGCTGGCTGTGCAACCAGCTTCGCGGAAAGCTCCAGCGTTGTCGTGAAGGGCCCCGTGTGCTGACGGTCGAACAACAAGTCCTCGCAGCTCTACGCTTTTACGCCGCTGGCGGCTTCCAGGGAACCGTCGGGAGCAACGAAAACATTGGTGTTCACCAGCGCTGTGTGAGTTGCGTACTTGGGGGGCTATGTTGCGCTTTTTGGACTCCCAGGAGACTTGGAAGAGGGAAGTGACGTCAACGACTAGAGCAAACGCAGATTGGATGTTGACAGAAGAAAACGAAATCAACACCCAATCTGCGTTTGCTGCGTCGTTGACGTCACTTCCCTCTCCCTAGTCTCCAGGGGGGCTATGTTGGGCTTTTTGCACTCCCAGGAGACTAGGGAGAAGGAAGTGACGTCAACGACACAGCAAACGCAGATTGGGTGTTGATTTCGTTTTCTTCTGTCAACATCCAATCTGCGTTTGCTGTGTCGTTGACGTCACTTCCCTCTTCCTAGTCTCCTGGGAGTGCAAAAAGCGCAACATAGCCCTCCTGGTGTTATGTTGCTAGTTGAGCTCAGGAGGATGGTTTATGCAAACTGTTTAATACGTAACATACGTGATCAGAGCAGCGGCTATGGCGATTGCTCATCAGTTCCAAACGCAACAGCGCGTGCCACCTCCTGCGAGCGTGCTCACTGGATGTCCTCTTCTTCTAGGATCAGAAAGCCTCATGACATCATAACATGCCCCCTTCTTCTTTTTTTTTTTTTTTTTTTAAGATAACGCAGTGCGGTCGCGGCACTTGTCAGTCTCTGTATCATAGCGGCTTCACCACAACGCGTCGACTTCTCGTTTTTTTTTTTTTTTTAATTATCCTGTTGAACTTGTAGACGTGGAAATGTGTTCAAGTGATTCGCCATTTGAAACTGTATGGACATAGTCTTCAGCAGCTTCGTTTGAGACTGTACGAAAAATAGTTCTCAGCAGCTGTATTCGTTTCTGCTGTTCCATGTGCTTCTTTGGTGTGGCACCGGTTGCGCCTGTAAGTCCTCAATGTGTTTCTGCTGCCGCTTGTCCTGGTTTCACTTGTTCTCCTAGGCACGAGACTGTTTCAGAAGGGACTCGTACTGCCGGGAGAGTTCCTCAATCTCGACTCGGCTTGCTGGTGCCTCCAAAGTTCTCGCTGTACCCCCAGTGCCCTCGGTGACATGTTCCATCGAGGCCTCCACTTTTTGGTTTGGCGCCTGCACCAACCGTTCTTCAGCCTTGAGATGCATATCCTTGAGGAGGCGAAAGTGCTCTTGCAACTGCTGGTTTGCTTGCCACAGCTCTTGCAGCTCCTGCATGGTCTTTTGTCCCACTGCGCCCTGCTGCTCTTCGAAGACTGCGAGAGCTCGTCTGGCTGTTGCCCACTCTTCTGTGAGCTGAGCACACCTGTCTTCCAAACTGCGTTTCTCTTGGGCTGCCGCGTGAAACTCTTCCTGCAGGTTCCTGTGTCTGTATACAATGTGGTTATACTTGTCCAACAGCTGGGAGTGGTCTGTCTTCAGCGCTGATAGTGCTGCCTCACACTTGGCCGCTTCGTCCAGCGCAGTGCAGTGCTCGTTCTCCATCTCCTTGGTGGCCTTGACGTGCTGCTCGCGCTGAGTCTTCAACTCCTCCTCGAGGCAATGTCGTGCCTGTTTTAAGTTCTCAGCTAGCTGTTGAAAATGTTTGTTGTAGCTGACGAGCATCTCAGCTTGCTCCTCCAGGCAGAAAAGTTCTGACCACAAAATGTCGGCTTCGCTTTCTAGCTTTCCGTTGCGTTTTAGGAGGCTGCTGACTTTTTCGTCTAAGCTCTCGCACTCTGTCTCTGCCTTCTCGGTAAAGGAGCTTCCGCCTGCTCCCGTTTGCGACGAATTGTTCCACTTAACAGCATTCTCTCTCTCTCTCTCAAAGTCTCCACCATCTTTTCGTGTCTCTGCTGCCAGAGGCGACTTTCATCAGACACGCATCTAATTTTTTCACTCGCATCTTCACAAGATGATTTCCACTGCTGACTTTCTTGAGCGAGGAGCTCGTTCCTAACTGTCAAGGATGTGACCAGTTCCCGAAGCACTGCCAGCCGACAGTTCAAGTCTTCCAGGTGACTTGCTTCAAGAGACACTGCAGCTTCTGACGACTGGTTGGTGTGCTTGATGATGCTCCGGACAAATGCCCCGATGATGCTCCGGAAAGATGCCCCGAGATCTTGTAACGGCCACTGGTACCGGTCCTTTAAGTACTGATAATTTTGCTGAAGTTGATTGAACTGCTCCTCTTTTTTAGCAAGCTGGTTCTCCAGGGCTTCTCTTTTGCGTTTTGCGATGTCCAGCAGCTTCTTGAGGTACTGAAAGGCACTGAACTCTCGTTGTTCGGAATCATTCTCAACTACCGGCAAGTCCTCGCCACAGTCTTGAAGAAGGACATCCTGCAAGATGCAGTACTCGGTAGAAAACCTTTCGAGCTCAAGCTGAGATGCTTCAAACTTCTTTTTCAGGGTGCCCGCTTCCTCCACCTTAGCATCTACAAGCTCCAGCTGCTTTGCCAAATCCCCACTTAGAGAAACTAACTGGGCTTTCAATGCTTCGGACTCCTGATGGTTGGCATGAGAAAATTCTGCTTGCCGTGCTTGCATCTTCCCCAGGAGAGCCGAAGCTGCCTTGCACTCGCTTTGAAGGGCCTGCTCACGGCCAAAGCTCGCTTCGATATTTCTCTCGTGCTCCAAAGACATTCGCTGCATTTCTGCCTTTGCCAACATCAACTCTGAAATCAGGCATTGTCTCTTTTCGGGGCGAGATGCCAGCATGCCTCTTTTTTTCTTTGACCGCCTATCCAGCTCTGTCACAGTTTGCACAAGCTTGGGTGCTTTGGTTGATGGAAGAGGCCCAATTGTTATGCCTCCCAAATGGATCGTTTCATTGGGGTCATTGTTCATGAATGAGTTGGAAGTTTCTTCTACTGCAGAAACACGTCGATATCCGTAGGTTTTCTGCTGTGTCTGGTTGCACATTCGGGAAAAATGTCCAAAAATTCCACAGGAAATGCAGTGCTTTCCGTAAGCTGGGCAGTTTCGGGGTTGATGGGAAGTACCACATCTCGAACATGAACTTTGCTGTCGGTTGCTGGATTGGTCTCTTTGTGGCTCGGATGGTTGATACCTTAGTTGCGCTGCTCTGAAGCTAGATGGCTGACGATAGAGTCCATCAACTCTAACTTTGTCTTCAGTTTTCTGAATATCATTCACGTGCTTTCTTGAGATTTCCGCTGCTTTACAGGTTGAAATGATTTTGTCTAGTGTTAGACTTGGTTCACGAAACAATCGTTCGCGCAAAGCCCCGTCTCGTATCCCAATGATGATACGATCACCAATGAGCCTGTTTTCTTGAGCTCCGTAGTCGCATTTCTGAGCCTGCAGTTTTAGCTCAGTTACAAATTCGTCGATGGTTTGTTCTGGCTTTTGGCTCATTGTGTTAAAAATGGCTGTCGCTTGTGCGACGCTTTTGTAAGGTTCATACAGTCTATCGAATTCGTGCAGTATGTAATCTACTGCATTTTCTCTTTGCCCGCTTTGACCATCTCCCGTTGGCTGCAGCGGAAAGGTTTGCGTAATTCGTCTTGCCTGAGGTCCAAGGCAGTGGAGCAGAAAAGCTTTCCGAGTTGCGATAGGCTTGGATTCATATTCACAGGCTGCCTCGAAGATAAGGTACGATGATTTCCACTCCTCCCATGCTCTTGCTGGGTCGTCACCAGGCTGGAACGGAGCCGGCGGTTGAAGGAAAGCAGATGCCATATTGTTGCTGCTGTTGCTTGTTAAATGAAAAATATGGACGTTGAGCTGCTCACCACTTCTGACACCATGTTATGTTGCTAGTTGAGCTCAGGAGGATGGTTTATGCAAACTGTTTAATACGTAACATACGTGATCAGAGCAGCGGCTATGGCGATTGCTCGTCAGTTCTAAACGCAACAGCGCGTGCCACCTCCTGCGAGCGTGCTCACTGGATGTCCTCTTCTTCTAGGATCAGAAAGCCTCATGACATCATAACACCTGGGAGTCCAAAAAGCGCAACGTAGCACCCTTGGTGATGGCACCAACGCTATAATCGATTGCCTCGGATCGAAGTGGTTGTGTTTCGAACAAACTCAAGCAGAGAAGGCGCTCACAAACGAAGTTCTTTGAGCGATGCAAGTTCAGCGGCGTGATCGATAAATATTCTAAATACTCTTACACGATTCAACGCGATTGTGTTTTCATTTGAGTGCACCCGATATAAGCGATTTGGCTGAGTGAAAAGCCAAGCAAGCAATGGTAACAGGCATAAGTTGAGCTAGTTCGTTCATACTTCAGGTAGAGAGAGAGGGAGAGATATAGTTTATTTTAAAGCAACTACTTCAGGTAAGGCCAGCTGAACCAGAATAAATATACACGTAAAGAAGAGACCATACACACCGTGGGACTAACAACTGATTTTCTTTTTCCTCCTCTTCTGCTACAAACCCAACTTGAGGGAAATATTATCTTTTCTTCTTTTTTGCTTCCTTCTTCACCGAAAATTTAACCCCAGAAATAACCTTTTTTCTTTCTCGTGCAGCACGAGAGGTTGCACTAACGCAGTCAAATATAGCCCAAAAGTAAAATTGGTCGTTAGTTGTTTATACAGCAGGAGGTTAGTCTGCCTGAACATGGCGACATTGTTACCCACTGTAGATAAGCAATTTAGCCAGTAGAGTACGACTGCTAGCCGGGGTCTTTAACGTGCATCACGCAGTAGTGATACACGACCGCACACCGGTACGATGCTCAACCAGATTGAAACGGAGAGGGGCGGGGATTGAACCCAGGATCCCAGGAGGGCAATGTTGCGCTTTTTGCACTCCCAGGAGACTTGGAAGAGGGAAGTGACGTCAACGACACACGGGAGTCAAAGAAAGAATAAAAACACTTAAGGACAAGGACAGACAGCACAGTTCTTTCAACAACTGTTTTTTTTTCCGGGTGTATATAAATATATTAATTTCCGCATCTTCCTCTTTAGTCTCAAACGTTAGGAAGAAGATAGCACTATTGAAGGAGACACCAGTAAATGTGTGTTGCTAGTTGAAAGAACTGTGCTGTCTGTCCTTGTCCTTAAGTGTTTTTATTCTTTCTTTGACTCCCGTATTTTCACCAACACGCTCTTTCATCTTTGTCAACGACACAGCAAATGCAGATTGGATGTTGACAGAAGAAAACGAAATCAACACCCAATCTGCGTTTGCTGTGTCGTTGACGTCACTTCCCTCTCCCTAGTCTCCTGGGAGTGCTAAAAGCGCAACATAGCCCCCCTGGGTTCTGCAGCGCGAGCTTTCGCTCCACGTGCTCCGTCCGAGCTGGTGTGCGCTAGCCCACTCGGCGATTCTCCGAAATTCCCTGTAGGGAAAAAAGAAACGATGTAGTTTCAACTCAATCGCCACTGTTCGGCGACGTCACCGGACACGTCACGGTGCAGTTTTCTTCCGATGTAGTTTGTTGGCGATGGAGATTAGGCTCCTCCCACCGGCGACGTCACGATGCAGTTTCTCCACCGCTTTTTCCAGCATAGACAGACAGGTTTCTTGCAGCCGCAACGCAGTCAAACGTAGTAAAGCGCAACTGTCTGAACCAGGCTTTAGACTAGTAGCCGCACGCACACTGCCACCACGCATAAGTAATGTGTTCGCCTTTACATATTCAAAAGAAGCCATTCAAGAGTGCCGCTGTGGCAAAAGCAAAATTGATGTCGCATAGCAAATCAAGTGCCCGAATAAAAAGCACAAACGAATATCGACATCAGAAGTTTGTGGAACCTGGAGCACGAGGACAATCTCCTGAAATGAGAAGGCGAAGGAGGCCACGAAGGCTCAGCTATGTCCACTTACTTACCATGACCTCACAAGGCCACCTTAACCCCCACGCAGATGACCAAGGAGTTCCACCTAATCCAGAGAAAGGCCAGAAAGATTACAGGAAGGCCAGAAAAGCTAGCCTGCACGCCATTTACTTCAGAGTTTCACCCGATTCCACCATGGTTACAGCAGATGAGAGCGAGTAAGCCACAGAAGGCTTCATCCCAAGACAGCCAATCCCGTTGTGTCAAAGAAAGTTCCACCGACCAAGTGGTCCGGACGATCCATCACCCGACCCCAACTGTACGCAATGCGGAATCCCGGCTACGTGTTTCTACCTCGTAAGGGACTGTGCCGGGCTCACGCAGCACAGAAACGAAGCACTCATCAAGCTCCCGCGAGACGCAAGACCAGCGTCGTACGAAGCCTGGACCCACGTAATCCTCGGACACCCTCACAGGAAACACACCCTCGACTCTCTGATCAGTTTTGTACACTCGTCAGTGGTCACTAGGCACATTTACTCCCCTCTCCCTTCCTCCTACATTTTTTTTTCCTAACCTCCTTGCAATTGGATAATCTAACTCAAGATGTTGCTATGTAATCCTTCCAATCCATAAATACGTTTGAACAACAATGGCCACGAACGCGAATCCAAATATTCGTCGTCGGGTTGATTGTTGATGAGCGCATACGTCCGACTCTCCGAGTGACCCAGTGCTCGTGGCCAATGCGTGAGCTGGGTTCGGCCGACGTGCTTGGGCAACGCGGATGCATCGCAGTGAAAAGGCGGCAAGCTTCCGAAGGAAAGGAGGTAAGAAATAGTCCGCTATATTTTCAAACTTTTGTACCGAAAAGTAGACTTTTTTACTTTCTATCCTCTTTCTTTTGGCTCACTAAACAATATGCGATTAGTAAAATACCAAACTAATACGATTTATCCCGGCCCAAAACTTATTCCATGCTTCCTTTAATACGTTCAAAATCTCGACGACTTGGTAGATGTATCACTGTACTCTGTTTCACAATAACTTGGCGAACTGTGGAAGCTACGGCCGCCGCGGCCGAACAAGAGCGTCAGAGCAAGGCGCGTGACCACTCCATGGTCAACACAAACGCTCCCGTGAAGTGGTGTCACGTGCTTTGCCGTGACAATCTTATTGAGTGCCCGAAGCCTCCCCAGTTCGCCAAGTTATCGTGAAACATAAATAGCGCGTACACGCCATTGTTGTGGAGCAATGTTATGAAAATTTAGTTATCAATTCTGCCAGCCTCATCTTGAAGGCCGTGAGAGAGATTTAAAAATATTTGTACAATAGCACCAGGCATAAAATGAACCGAACTTATTCTAAAAGTGTTATAAAAGTTCCCACTTGTGGAACTACAAAAATAATAAGAACTCAGTAAAAAAACAGCATAAACACAGCGAAAATAAAAACACGACACAGTTTCAGCTCACATTTAAACATATAAAAATCGAACATATAAAAACTAAAAGGACAAATTAATAAAAAATATGTTCTTTGTCATTCCCCGATATGACTGTTTAATGCGACTTAAATAGATGTCAACGATCACTCCTGAAATAATGCATTCCATTCAATAGAGCATTTCGACAAAAAAAAAAAAAGAAGAAAAAATCGATAATTTGCTCCTTATTCTTTTTTTTTTCTTACTTTTGTTTTTGCGTTTTTTTGTGTTCGAGTGCATGCATAATGTTGATGGTGATTAGCTTTGAGACTATATTACAGGTAGGTATTACACCGCTGTGAAATATTCATAAAATGTCAGAGAAAGTAGAGCACCTAACTTATTGGGTCAGTCATGGGATCCCACACACAAATCAACCACAACAAAGTAACGTGCTGTTTTTGT